GATCTTGTACTTGAGTAAAAGTAGAAGTACTCAGATCTTGTTCTTGAGTAAAAGTAGAAGTACTCAGATCTTGTACTTGAGTAAAAGTAGAAGTACTCAGATCTTGTACTTGAGTAGAAGTACTCAGATCTTGTACTTGAGTAAAAGTAGAAGTACATAATATTTCTGACAAAATTTAACAAAGTATAAGTTGACCAGGAGTGATGCCAACTTGTATTTAGGTCTTAATGTGTGCATATGTATAATGTGTCCGTTGATTGTGTATATATAGGTATATACATATTTTTCTACATATTTTTATATATATTTATTTTTGTATTCGGGATTGTGGGAAACGGTATTTCGATCTCTCTGTCTGTACTCACAAACTGAAAGATTGACAATAAAGTTGACTTTGACTAAAGAAGCCAGAACAGGTGTGAGGAGGTGGGTCACCTGCAGGGCGCAGCGGAGCGTCTGCAGCTTCTGATTGGATCCCAGAGCAGCCTGGAAGGCGTGGAGGATGAGGAGAACAGAGACGTCTCTGCAGGAGTCCTGGCTGCTGATCAGCTGATCTGAGACGGATCGGACCTCCGGAGGGACGTCCTCCACCGGACCCACCAACAGCACCGTCCTGATAACATATGACACACACTAGTCAAGAGCAATTGTTGGGAATGTACTCTTCCAATATGAGAGTCACATGCTATCAAAGGTATCCCAACTGGAGCTGTGAGACATGACAGGATGTGTGATTACCTAGAAGAGCATCAGGACTGTTTGAGGCATATGATAGCTATGTGATTAACATGATGATTCAGCCTCTATGGAGAGAGACATATGACAAGCATGATCATTTCTGACGTGGAGCTAATCTGAAGTAAACATTGAATACTGCTTTCTATTCCTCCATCTTGTGACTGTGGAACTCACTCTCTTGGATATCAGCATGTGAAGGACACTGTTCAGGAACTAGTTGATGCTCTGTATGTGATGACTACTTCCATTCTTGAGAGGATCATAGATACATGGATCCTGAGATTCAAGATCAAGCCGGGGACCAGTGAGATTTCTCAACAGCAATGATTTGAAAATACTTTTAAGCAGATCTCAAGTGAAGTTAAGAGCCTTGATTAAGTGCTGCTAATACAATAAATGTAGCCATTTTGAATAGCTTTTAATGTCTTTCGGTGTGAGAGGACTTACATGGTTTTGTAGTGGTGAATCTCAGGGGAAATGCCCTGCTCTGACTGAACCAGCCTTTGAAATGAAATACCTGAAACAAAAAGAGGAAGACCAATCAGTATATTGTATCTCAGAGGGTAAACAGTGCCCCCCTGTGGTCACACTGATACATGATTTCTCTTACATAGCTCTTTCAGATGAACCTCGAACCACCAATTTAGGACTCACATCTATAATTTAGAAATGTCCTTAAAGTTGTCTTTAAAAAGAGACAGACTCAAAACAAAGCAGCTTTTTTTACATCACTTTTAGTTTTGTTTGTTGTGATTTTCATTCTGGCCACAGTTGCTGAAGTGCTAATGTGTTCTGTGTTGAGTGCATGGAGTCATTTGAACTTACCTCATCCATACATTTATATTCCTACTTATCCTGACATTAATAACCTGTTTTTCTCACTTACATCTCAGGGCTTCTGTACATACTATTCATTTAAATCATTACCATAGACCCCATACTTGATCCCCAATCCTTGAATGAACACACAGGACGGACATCAGGTTTATTTTATTGCAGCACAGTCACCTGGTGCTCTGAGCTCCTGCTGCAGGACGTTCAGCAGCCGTTTGCTGGCCGAGCTGCAGGGCTCCGGCCAGGTCAGGAAGCTGTGGAACAACAGGTAGGCTTCCTGCAGCAAAACCAGGTCTGCAGCCACGTGAGGAGCCTGAGAGAAACAAGGACCCAGAGGCTGGAAATCTATGGTTTTCTGAGTGTGTTTTTGGTTATTAGCCTGCAATAAGGTCTGTGGTTAACACAAGGCCAAGAGATTTTTATTCTACG